GTGCTGTACTAACTACACCCACGCGTGCTGTACTATCTACACCCACAGGTGCTATATCCCCTATACCCACGAGTGCTGTACTAACTACACCCACGGGTGCTGTACTAACTACACCCACAGGTGCTATAACCCCTACACCCACAGGTGCCGTACCCCCTACACCCACAGGTGCTGTACTATCGACACCCGCAGGTGCTATATCCCCTATACCCACGAGTGCTGTACTAACTACACCCACAGGTGCTGTACTATCTACACCCACAGGTGCTATATCCCCTATACCCACGAGTGCTGTACCCCCTACACCCACGGGTGCTGTACTATCTACACCCGCAGGTGCTATATCCCGTATACCCACGAGTGCTGTACTAACTACACCCACAGGTGCTGTACTATCTACACCCACAGGTGCTATATCCCCTATACCCACGAGTGCTATACTAACTACACCCACGGGTGCTGTACTAACTACACCCACAGGTGCTATAACCCCTACACCCACAGGTGCCGTACCCCCTACACCCACAAGTGCTGTACCACCGACACCTACAGGTGCTGTACTCCCTACACCCACAGGTGCTATACCCCCTACACCTATAGGTCCTGTACCTGATGCTTCCCATGTGCTTTTAGTCCATCCTGCCCCAGATTCATCCTGCAAGGTGGAAGCAATGACTAATTCTGAAGCACTCTAATTCATAGGTTATGATGGGCCTTTGACTACAACCAGCCCCCCAGCCAAGGGACGCCAGGAACGGTGCTGGGAAGATGGGGGAGCCTTGCCTATAGCCCCCAGGTAGCTCTGGTGAAGTGAGCAGGAAAAGCCCTGACTCAGGAAGGAGAGAGGCTCTCAGACTGGAGAGTCAGTAACCTCAGAGACTGAGAGCAATGCCCGCCTCCTACCTTCCTCCTCCAGCTTCCTTGGTCTCATCTCCTCTCCTTCACAACTCAGCAGTCACCACATTCCACTGATTCTGCCACCTAAGAACCTCTCCATCTGTCACTGTTCTGCATTCCACTGCCCTGCCCTAGGCCCACAGAATAAGGTTAAACCTAAGAGCAGCTTATACGATGCCTTCTACCCTCCTTGGGCTCGTCTTTGGCCCTTCCATCTCTCCCTCTGCCCCACACCCCCATTTTACGGTCCAGTCCGAGCTGAATAGAGCATCCTCAGTGACCTCTCGCCACTGTGCTTCCACATCCTCACCCCACCACCCTGCTCTCCCCACCCTGCACCACAACTCATCTGCATAATCCCTACTCATCCTAATGCAGTTCAGAGGTCTCCTCCATCAGCAACCTTCCATAGACCCAAGGTGGGAGCAAGTCTACCACCTTTGAGTTTCCATGGCAACCTGGACAAACCCCTTTCATGGCACTTAGCAAATCCCAAGGTCATTTCCTCTTTACCTGTGTGCTTTCCCCACAAGGTGGGGTGGTCTGTGAGACCTGGGACTGTGCCTGTCACAGAGTAGGCTCTCAAGAAAGGTTTGCTAAGAGATGGATGGAGAAACTCCTGTGTCACTGCTACAGCCATGCAAAGGTGGCCCAGGTGGCTCCCAGGCGAGGACAGAGACACACATTTATTGGCTTTGGGAATTCAAGCTACAGGTGATGAGATAGTCAAGAGAGGCTGGGGCTGTAGGCACATTTATAATGCTACTTCTTGGTCTCTCTGTAATCCCTCCCAATTGTTCATGAAAATCCCCGTCTCCACACAGGGAGCCCAATTAACACAAACACATGTGTGCATGCACATGCATGCATGCACATGTGTCACTGCCCTGGGCCTTAAAGACTGCTCAGAACTCATTAGCCAACAGGAAGTAGAGCTGGCCCTCTGGCCCTCACTGTGATTGTCCCTGCACATCAGGCGCTCACTCTCCAGCAGCCCCTGCCCTAGTTGGTGTTTGTCAGCTGCCAGAGCTCCCACCTGAGCCGCTCAGGTGTGCTCTGAGCCAAGACTGCTGGGCACTCCCTGATCAGAGGCAGCTACCCTGACTCGGAAAGCAATCGAGTCTTCTTTCTAACAGCTGTCTGGACACTGTAGCCAGAGTTCATTCATGCATATGATTTATTAACTAATTTAGCACGTAAGAAAAACGTGTGCATTTTGCTTTTATCATCTTGCCGGCAGACAGGCTGAAGACAAGATGTGTATTGTAGACTTGTTTAATGGGGCCTTCAACACTCCCTCTCACTTGCCCAGGCTCAGACCAGGCTCTGGTTTCAGAAGTTGTCTGACTGAACTGACCCAACACAAACAAACACGAGGGTAAGGCTCTCATCAACACATAAATACTGCAGGATGGGCAGAGGAGCCATAAACCCCACGTGCCCGAGTCCCGTCCAGAGCATTCTAGTCGCCAGGACTGTCTTGAAATTTGGGGTATAGAAAGGTGCCTTGGTTATTTACTACTATCGACTGGGTCTGATCACCTTTTATACATATACAGTTTTAAGATTTTCATTTAAAGGAATGTGAACTTGTAAGGATATCTGTTTCCGGCAAATACCACAGTTGGATGATGGTAGTGGATAGAACTATGTCTCTCCAAAAAGATATGTTCAAGTTCTTGTCCCTCTACCTCCACCCCCATACTTAGGGGGTGGCCATGAGAAGATGGAGACAGAGATTGGAATGATGCATCTACAAGCCAAGGAACGCCAAGGAATGCCAGAAGCCACCAGAAGCTAGGAGAGAGGCATAGCATGGATTCTCCCTCTGAGCCTCCAGAAGGAATCAATCCTGTTGACACCTTGATTTTGGACTTCTGGCCTCCAGACTGTGAGAGAATACATTTCTGTTATTTTAGCCACTCAGTCTGTGGTCATTTCTTATAGCAGCCCCAGTAAACTAATCAAGATGACCGAGGCAGCCTCCCTGTGATATTTGAGATGATGGTATTCCAGACCACTCAGGGCCTGCAGTGTGGCACAGCCGAAAGGTAGTGGGTCTGGAGATGGAAGAACCCAGCGCTGCTGCTGGTGCACAGCCCCACACGTAAGTTCCCAAATGTCCTTGGGTCTCCATTTTTTCCTACCCAAAGTAAAGGGATCTGACCAAAAATGAAGCCCCTCAGACACCATTTTTTGTGTGAATGTGAATTTGTTGGGCTCTAAAGTGGCACTCTTTTATATTTGTTGACAATACATTTGTTAACCTAACTAATTTTATCAAGCAAGATCTTCAAAATTGTTGAGGCCAAGTGGCCCACCCATCGTGGGCACCCTGGCAGCTCTCTCCAGGACAAGCACAGACATTGAAGGCTCAGGGGATCCCCAGTTGTGGCTGACATTGGGTCCCTCGTAGTAGCTTGAGAAGTCTGCACCTGAATCCAGATCACTCTTTGTGGAGCCAGGGACTAAACAGCCCCCTGGAGAACACACACAAATCGAGAACACATTTCAAATCGGTTGTACCTGCCAACTGGCTTGAAATGCTGGTGAGAGACACATTTCAAGGGGGGAACCCTTTGCACATTCATCTTGTCCATTTCTTTTCCTTGGCCTCCTGGAACATGTCACTGGGAGGAGCAGCATGTTTTGCCGAATCCTTTGCCACGAGAAGGATGCATTCAAGTCCACCCTTGCCCAGGGTCTTAGGCAACTCCCCCAGCAGCACTCTAGGTGAATGAGGGAGACTTGGCCTGCCCATGGATGTTAACAGGAATGCCCTTACAACACCCTTTGTCCTCTGTCCCCCAGGCCCCCCTGCAAGACCTGGGTAATGTTAGCTAAGCTGCATTTCATTGAGTATGGTTATTTCCCCTGAGGACTTTTATTCAGAATTATACCCATGATTTCACCTCCCGGGGGCCGGCACATTTTCATAGGAAGAAAAATCTTGTTCCTCTATCCAAAGGAATAAAACTGATGTTTCCCCAGGCCTCCAGATTTTAAGATTTGAGTTGGCAGGCCATCAGCACGTGCTCTGATGTCCCCGTTCCTGCCCTCGTCTCTTCTAGTTATTCTTGCTGGTTTAATAGTCTGTTTATAAGCTCCGTGAAGAAAAGACTGAGGTCAGTCTTGCTCACTGCACCATCCCCAGCTCCCAGCAGGGTGCCTGGCCCAGAGAAGGTTCCTGATAACTCCTTGGCTAATGAGTGAATGAGGGCTGCCCCTCATAGGCTCAGCTTGACACTGGCTTTGCAGCTCTTCAAAAGCTGGCCATCCATTCTCTAAGCTCACAGCAGGAAAGGGGTTTCGAGATGAAGAATGTTGATGTAGACAAGCTGGAGTCACCCTCTCACCCTGAGGTCTGTTTTGCAATCTCTAAAGGGCAAAGGGGATCTCTTGAAAATATCTGTTAGGAGCCAAGAATTTGAACTTGCTACCCTGGCTGCTACAGTTGTGTGGCTTCTTTCCCAGCTCTAATGGTAAATTTGTGTCCCAAGTTATTTCTGCTGAATTCAGTGCCCACATATAATCTCTCAAAGTGGGCTGGCTCCCAGAGCAGGCTGCCTGATACTGAGGTTTGGATACTCGGAGCAAACACAAGTCCTCCCGCTGTCAGTGGTGTCATTTGTACCATCACCTCGGGTGAAGGGTCCATCCCCAAGGATCCCCCAGTCTCGCCAGCCCTCCCAAGCCGCCCGCAGCTTACCACTAAGAGGATGAGGAACGGTGAACTGCTTCTTGCTGGTGCGCACCGGGAGGAGAGGCTGCTTCTGCCCCAGGTTCTCCTTCTGCTGGGCTTTTCTCTGCTGTACCATGTGTTCCAGCTTCTTCAGCCGCTCTTGCGAGCGAGAGATGAACTGAGGTTTACGGGCTTCCAACGCTTCCTAATTGAAGCAAAGAAAATATCTTATTTTTCAGAGAAAGGCAACACATCCATCTGATCTGGTCAAGAAGCCCATCAGAACTACAATACTCAGAGACCAAAAGCCACAGGGCATAAGCACGTCACAATTTTCTTCCAGTTTCACATAAATATTGTAACAGATGTTGATGCCAGAGGCCCTGGTGGTCATTCCTGGCCAGCACCAAGGGCCCCACTGCAGCATGACTGACTACTCAACAACATCAAGGTTATGAGGACAAAGGCAAACATCTACCCATTCCTCCTTCTACGCTGCCAATTCATTCATTGCCAACAGACCAAAATCTGAATGCCCTCAACTCCATATTCCACGGAAACATGGGCGGCGAAGGGATGGAGGTGTTAGGAGTCACTTGCTCCTGCCGGGGGTTGGACGCCTTAAGAAGCACAGACCCAGATCACCCACCCAGCGTAAAATATGTGCCTTTTCAGGGGAAACAGTAATCGTGGCTAAGAGAAACAACTTCTCCTCCCAGGCAGAAGAGTTGGCAAGATATCTTTGCCCAAGCAAAAGGGTTCTGCAAGCTCCATAGAGGAGGTCAGAGCTCCCATATTTCCACTTCAGCCTTGTCTCTCACTGTCTGTCCCCTCCATGCCTGCGCTAAGCCACCCACCCAGGTTTACTGAGGAAGAACCACCGCCAGTGATGCATTCTGCTCCATGCCAGACAATGGGCTAGGTGCTGTGTGTGTGTTCATCCTCTCTGGGAATCCCCACATTGACTCTGTAAGGCAGATTCGTTTACCCCCATTTGACAGATGCAAAAACTGAGGCTCATCATCATTTGGTACATCATATCGTGACCCTCAGCTGTGGGAGTCGCGTGCTTTCCCACACTGCCTTTCATTGTCTTAACTTGCTTTTCCTTGCAAACCTCTGTTCAAGTTCTTCCCCTCCCTGGGGTACTACCACTGGCCACACCCATCGGCTCAAGTTCTTGCTCTCCTAGAAAGCTCTGTGGGGTCTCCCTATTCAGCCTCAGCATCGTGGTACTTCATGGACCACCTGGTGCAACTCATTCATACACCTCTATTGCCCTGCTAGGCTGTGAGCTTCTGGATGCCATGGCCGTGTCTCATCCACATTGTATCCCTCACAGCCACTGCTCGGATCTCTGCACACAGTAGGTGCTCAGAAAGGCCCTCTGGAGGTGCTGCCAGGGCGGAAACGTTCCTCTGCCACATTCCTCTCCCAGCCAGCTGGTAGCTCAGAGTTCCCGAGGGGAGGGCAGCTTGGGCTCCATCTGTGTCGTGGACGTGCCCCTGGCAGCTGTGCCTGGAAAGGAATCTTCTTGGGCCGTTGGCCTCCACGGCGATAGCCCCAGGCCCCAGGCACAAGTCACTGGGGACTGGAGTGACCCATAGGGAATGCCTATTGGCCCAGGCCTGGCTGCTGCCTCGGCTGCCCGCCCTGAGGCTGGAGGTTCAGGCTGCTTTGGGGGCACCATGGGTCTCTGACCGAGGGCCTACTCGGAGGACAGGGGTGCAGGGGCCGGTGGATGGAGCCATCTCCACATGTGCAGGGCGGCTTACAACCTACCGAGTGCCTTCCTAGAAGGCATGGTGGCTCTGCCATACACCATTCACAAGGGCTTTCTCTGAGGTTGTTTGCCCTTCTAATTTTTATACTTATGTAATTTTTGAACTGTAAAAAATGTGTCCATATTGCTTCTACAATTGGGAAAAGACACCAAATGAAAGCTTCCATATCCTTGAACCCATGGCCACATGACTTTGGGACTTTCTTAATCTTTCAAAGGCTTAAAGTCTTTATCTGGAGACGAGGTTATAGGAACTCCTGCCTCATAAGGGTGCTGTGAGGATGGAAGCCACTGACGCCTACAAAGTGCCTGCCCAATGTCTGGGCACCTGGAAGTTCTCAGCAGATGCTAATTGTCATTGCTACAGTCACTGTCACTACGGATATTACGTGACCCTCATTCTAGCCCAGTGAAGTAGATAACATTCTCTCCATTACTCCTACGGTGAAACAAAGACTCAGAGAGGTTAGGGGACCTTCCCAGAGTCACACAGCTACTACGAAGGGGAGAGATTCCCCTGGAAAGAGCCATAGAATCCCCAGGAAAGATTCCCCTCGGCTGGAATCGAGCTGGGAAGCACAGAAGGTCTCACCTGCAAGGTCAAGGAGCTTGCAGGCATTTGCTGGCACTGGGAACAGTCTTCTGACAGGTCGGGGGTCTGTGGTTCCTCGGGGGGTGCTGGCTCTGGGGGCGCAGGCTCGGGCTCGGGCATGGTGGGGTCCTCACTCTTCTTGTATTCCTTTAATTTTACAACCAAGTCGCAGCAGGTGTAATCTCCTAGGAACGAAGATTTAGAATTCCATTTAGAGGGCACATGTGATTGTCGCCTGGTTCCTCAACACTATTAGACACAGAAGACAATTTTGACAACAGAAACGCCTGTGGGTTACTAATGGGCTTCGTTAAGCCGACGAGATCATGCCTCATCACAGACCCCACCCCCCTCGGCTGGCCCGGTCACAGGGAAGAATGTTTGCAGGCAGCCAGACCTCAGGACTGGCTAATTGTGCCGTGGAGGTATCCCCTTGGCTTCTGATGTCCAAAATGCCTTTGCTCACGATGAAAAGAAACTTTTCTATTCTGTGCTTCATATTAAGTGTGTCGTGTACAATTATTACACCTTTGTTGTTTGGGGACAGTGTATTCATTTACCTTGTGTTTGCTACACTAACGATGTAAGATGGAGGAATGGTGTTCAATTATTTATCCCTCCCCTTAACTTGCCAGAGACTACCACTGGCTTTATATTTGTAATGGAAATTCTCTCTCTCGAGGCAGGATTTGGCCTCCTCCTGGGCCCATTTTGACATTCCTTTGTGGAAAAGGTCAGGGGATGAGTTGGGGGATTAATATGAATTCACTGACCGCTCACTGACCAACACCTGCGCCTGGAACACAGTGTCCTTTCAGCCTGTCCTAGGCCACTCTTCCTGCCCGAGCTTCCCCCACTACCCACCACACATCCCCCCAACCACAGCCAACCAGCCGTCTCCAGTTCTGCAACTCAACAGCGTCTTTCTCATCCTTGCCGGCACGCTCTCCTATCTCCACAAAGCCCTTTGATTCCTCCACCTGGTGACCTCCTACCTCCAGGCTGAGCCCAAATCCTCCAGGAAGCCCCCTCCCCTTCCCAAGTCAGGCTCCATCCTGCCTCCTCTGTGTTCTCGCAGTGGAACACGTGTCATACACTCAACAGCATCATTTACTAGGTGGGCTCGTAACAGGATGCTTTAACCCACAAGCTGGTGACTGCCTCAAGGGCTGGACCATGTCATATTCACCCTGCATCTCTCCATGGTGCTAGACCAGGTGCCCGGAAGCTTGTTCTGCTGGGAGTGGAGAGGAAGCCATTAGGAGACTCACCTGGGCAAGCCTCAGGACGCATCTCCATGGTCCCATGAATCTCTTATCTGAGCCGCCTGCTATAAGCTCCACCTTTCACGCCTGGATCCTCTCTGGCCTGGACCAGCTGTCCTATCTCTACTCAAAACCCATCAACGCTCCCTACTTCCTACAAGCCCTACAGACAGACCAGACTTTTTGTGGCTTGTTCACGGTAGATGTTCCACCTCCGGCTCTACCAACAACACACTATTTAGAGCTCTCAAATCATTCTCTTTCATTCTTCTAGGCATTGGCTTCTGTTTTTTCTGGAGGATTTCCCTGTTGCTCCCCTATCCCTGCTTCAGGCCTAACCAACTAGCCCAGCTATCCATCCCCCAAGCCCCCTTTAGCCAGACTTCATTGTGCCTTCCACAGACTGTTTTCATTTCTTATTGTGAACCCTTATTCTAGCTCACCCTATGCACAGGGAAGCCACAGTTCCCTTACATCCTTCCCCACCATCCACCCCATCACCAGATCCAGCAACCCAGGGGCTGTCCTAACGCGCCCACCTTCATCAGTGCTCACAACACAGTTTTGTCCAGTGTATCTTGACACTCTCCATCACTGTGGCCCCTCCTCCCCAGGGATATGGTCTGTATTCATCTCTGGCTGGATCTAAGTCCCCCAGCCTTGCCCCTCTCCCATCTGTCCTGTACAGTGTCCAGGAGACAGTCTCCTTCAGATCAAATCTGATTAGGTCTCTCCTCCTTCAAGTATTTGGCCCTCTCTTTAGTCTGACCCCCTTAGTGGGTTTATAAGGACCTTCCAACTTGACCCTGGTGACCTTAGACTCATGCTAGGCCCCTTCCTGCCTCCCCTGCACTCTGGCCCCTTTGCCCCCAAATCAGCCAAGCTCTTTCCATCAACTCTTTGCTTTGTGTATGCCTTTCCCTCAGTCTGCAATGCTCTTCACCCTCAGCTCTGATTTTAAACCTCTAATCAGCTTTCAAGTTCCTGCTCAAAATTATTTCCTCAAGGAAGATGTCTCTGTCCAGACCCTCCTTGGAGCATCTGGGGCCGTCCTCAGCTTCCTGACAGCTCTCCACAGACACAGTTACAATCCCGATGTCTCCAGCACTGGACTGATAGCACCTAAGGACAAGGAGCACCTAGCACAGCGCCTGGCACACCGTAGGTGTTTAATAAATGCTTCTTTAATGAATTAATGAATGAAGAGCTAGGGATTCACTTGGGTTCCAAGTGAAATTATTTTTATCAATTACCATAAACATTTTGACTCCTACATCCCAAAGCTCTATAATCTGATGTTTTTCTTTCTGTCCTTATCCATAGCTCTTTGAGAAAATCTTTAGAGTGATAGGAAATCTAATTGTTCCCTCTGACATAACTTGGCATCACAGGTCTTTCTTCCATTCTTCTATTCTTTTAGGTATCAATGCTTACTGCAGTATTAGTAGGAGTCAGCTATTTGGCCTTTAGAGAAATGGCGGCCTGGTTTGAATTCTTGGTTCCCTCCTTTGTGAGGGTGAGATTGGGACCTACCCTGTGGGCACTGTGAGGTCCAGTGCACTCATGCTTGTTAAGTGCCCAGCACACGTGGGGGCCTACACCCCTCAGCCATTATCCCTGCTAGGCATTTATAGACAACCACTGTCAGCTGGGTGGACCTGCTACCCTCAGAGCAGCCACATCAGCATCTCAAACATTCTCTTACTAGGCCTAAGAGCCTGCTGTGCACCTGGGAGTGGCCTTCTTCTCAGCCTCAGGTGATACTGGCCTTGTGCACAATAGGACTGGAGTTCCTGACCCATGCAGGGCTGCCTTCTTCATACCTGGGAGGCAGAGCTCACCCACCATTTAAACCTGCTAGTCTTGCTTCCCTCTCTGCTCGCACAGTTGGAGAAGGGGCAGCTTCATCAGGTGAGCTCGTGTGAACCGGAGCCCGGGAAGACACTGTACTGTTTTCCATATGAATTTCAAGGAGGAATCATCTCAACCCTACCTCCCTTCCTCCTTACCTTTGGGGAACTCTCTTTCTACCTGGACACCATTATCTTCCTGTGGAGATGTGCATAAATCTTGTAAGGGGCAAAGAAACCCAGGTACAAGGATGCTGGGTTTTGGGAAGCTTTGCTGTTGACTCTCTGCTGGCCCAGAAAGGTTGCTAGACTGACAGCTGTTGCTTGTAGAGCTATACCCATCGGGAAGGAAATCTTTAACCAGCTTCTGTTCCACTGGGGGAGCAGACAAAGTCACATGTGCTTCTTGTTGCTTCTCGCTGTTTCCAGAAAATACTTTTGATTCTACTAAAAATAAAATGAGAATTGTGCTCAAAACGTCTGATGAGCCCACGTCTAATGTACTGACTCATGCACACTACACTCTCAGAGACAGGCAGATGAGCTGCAGCACTGCCTCGGGAGACCTGGAGCCGTGGGTGGCCACAGTGCACGTGCTCTCACAGCATTCAGCAACTGATCGTCATTCCCAGTCAGACTTCCCCTGGAGTTCACCAAGGAGCTCCGTTTATAAACACTGCTATCATGCATTTGGCTCTAAAGAGACTGTGCTCGCTGGTGCCTATAGGAACTCAATCAAGCTTCTTGACAGCAGGCAGTAGAGTGGGTGGTTTAGAACATTGACTCTGGGGCCAGATACCTGGGTTCAAATCCCGCCTCCACCACTTATAAGCTCTCTGGCCTCAACTACAAAATCAGGGTAACTCTACAGTAATAAATTAAAATTTATTTAATTTTGTTATTATCATATTATTTACTTTCGTAATACATTTATGTATATATAATAAATATATTTCATATACTTTAATTATATTTTATGTAATCAATAACATATTTATACTATTACTATAAATATCAAATATTAAAATCGAGGCAATAATATAATGAAAGAATGATCCACGTAAGGTGTTTAGCATGGTACCTGCTACACAGTAAGCGTTTAATAAATATCAGTTATTATTGCAGAAACATTGATGCCAGGTTAACTGCTATGGGAAGTACAGAGGTAGGAGGTAATCAATCAGGTGTACACCTCTAATACAGCAGTGGATCAAACCATGTACAACATGTTGCTTGTTGCCACACTGCAACATCAAAAGTCTGGAAACCACGTTCTGCCCTTCCGTAGGGGACTAGTGAGTCAATTACTGTACATCCGGTACCTCTGTGCTTTGCAGCAGTGAAAAAGAAATGAGGCAGATGCTCTGTGTAGACGTGGAATAATCTCTAAGATACGCTTTCAAGTGAACAAAGCAAAATGTGGGAGAGTGTGTCAGGTCTGCTTCCCCAGTAAATGCTTCTATGCTCAGAATATATCTGGAAGGACCCAGAAGACGCTGGAAACCTTGGGAGAGGGGAATGCAGGACAGCAACTAGGGGTGGGACAGAGACTTTCTTCTCAGTGTTTGCCTGTTTTATACTTTTTCTTTTTGCTTTATTTTCTTTTTTCTTTTGGAATACTCTATAAATTTTTAAAAGTTATTCATTTTAAATAAGGCAGTGACCCTTCAACAGGTGTCATCTCCTCCCTATGCTGATGTCACTAAGTGGAAGGGCCCCACCTGGGAGAGAGCCAGGCTGCCAGTGGGATGTGTCCAAACCTCCTGTGAACCGGGGAAGAAAAAAAGTCCTGAGAACCACTGGAGTAATAAAGATTCTTAGATGATTCTCGCTATGTTTTCTCAAATGTCTTATACACAAAAAGGAAATGCGCCCATGACTACCTGGCACTAATTAGAATGGTGACCTCTCTTAAAATGTCTCAGTTGTCCGCAATTCGTTCCAGCCCCTGTGTCCCCGAGTCCTGGCATCCCAGCCAATGGGAACAGGTTGAGTGTGGTGAGGCCGTGGAGGCCAGTGGGAAGACACAAAACACAGAGTCTCCTCAATGTGCATCCCGCCTGTGGGATATGAGGCGGGTGAGTCAGCAAGGGGGTAAACTCAGCTTTCCATGTTCTTATGAACAAACAAAATGTAGGTAACATGCCTACTGGGTTCCAAGGCTTGATACACAGAGAGTCCTAAAAAAATGGCACGTGTTCTTAGTTCTTTCATTTGGAGAGGGGATGGGCTGCCTATGGTAAAGTTGAGCTTTGCTAATTTGTACAGAAAAATCTTTCTAAACTTTTATTTCAAAAACTGTTAATTCTGTTTAAGTATAAAATATTACAAGCAAAAACGTCCTAAAATAGCTCTTTCTTTATATGTTGCTTCCTTTTGTTAGAAGCTGTCTTAAAGAATCAAAAATCAGGGCCGGCCCCGTGGCTTAGTGGTTAAGTGCATGCGCTCCGCTGCTGTCCCGGATTCGGATCCCGGGCGCGCACCGAAGCACTGTTTCTCCGGCCATGCTGAGGCCGCGTCCCACATACAGCAACTAGAAGGATGTGCAGCTATGACATACAACTACCTACTGGGGCTTTGGGGGAATTAAAAAAAAAAAATCAAAAATCAAATTAATTATCAGTGATGTAGTCTCGATCTGCTAGTTCCATCTCAGTGTTAGGCTCTTTAATGTATTTATTTACGGACTCATGGAGATCTAACTATCTATCTATCTACTCACCTACCTACTCACCTATCAATTATCTATCTAGTTTAATGTAAACTCCTGTGTGAACGATTCTTTGCAAATCGGACGATCCACTGGTGACTTGAAAGAGTTAAAACAACTCCCAGAAAGTAGAACGTAGTTGGTGTACCAAAGAAAAGAAAAACATGCAGCCAAAGGCGGACTTTTCTGACAACTTATTGATCAGATCTCTTTTTGTGGGTTCTGAAAAGTACAATCGGCAGCCATGAGATGAGCCTCAGGCAGGCCTTCTCCAGGAAAGGCAGAAGGCATCCTCTTGTTTTCCCATATGCTCTGCGTGAGGTTGGACTTAAGAGTTCTCTATTCAAATTTTAAACCACATCACCTCGGTGAAGACCCATTGCCACCGCAGGCTCTGTGCATCTAAAGAGATGTGTCAATCAAGAAGCAGCCTGTGCCAGACATTTCCATTTCTTGGACTGAAACTCAAAGCCTGCTTCCTGAGCCTGTCACTGGAGGGGCTGGGGCTCTGCAGGCTTCCTTTAAATAGTGACAGTCCCTCTATTCCCTTTTTTAAAAAGCGTCACTCTGTTGGTTGATATTCTATAGCTCAACTATACAGCAAACTCACCTATCCAGAACCGAACTATGCACTAGGAGGTGAGCGAAAACCAGCAAAAAGATCCTGCGCAACAGTCACAAATTCCTTCTCTTAAACTCACCCCCCTGACTCAGAGAAGAGCTCCTTGGACCATTTCACAGTGCCCATTTATGCTCTTCTCAAGATCATTTTATTGTGAAATGTATTATATTTATTATTTAAAGATATTAATCAGAGCGTCCATGAACCCTCCTATATTAAGAAGCAGAACACTCCCTGGGCTTCAGACATCATCTCTGAGCCCCTTCTGGATCACACTCACCCAGATGGAACCGCTTACTTGAATTTCATTTTACTCAATTCATTGCTTTGTCTATAATTTTCCTACCTATGTAGGTACCCACAAACATTATTTTTAATACCAAAAATCTGAATAGTAAGCACAAAGCTAGCTGTTTTAAGGTAAAGACATCATTACATCTGTTAGACAAAAGCTTTCAGGAGAAGAGAGTTCAGCAGACCGGCTGGGCCATAGCTTCCCCGAGAGTTGATGGGATGTGATTCTGGGGAAGATAGTGGTAAGCTGTGAATGAGTCCTGAAAACAAGGGCAGACACAGTCAGGGCACCATGCAGAGCTGGCTGGCAGGAATAGGATCAGGGGAGGGGGCTGCTCTGGATTTTCTGTTCCTGACCTCACTGTGTCCAGCTGCAGGCCTTAGGGATAAGTTAGGACAGGACACTTCTCCGCAAGGTGGGCCCTGAACTGACCAAGTGCAGGGCAAGGATGGGAGAGCAGGGACCTCGTCGACACAGCGTCAAGACCAGTTGAGAAGGGACACAGATCTGGGCCAACCAAGGGCACCACCAGCTTATGCAGGCCCTTTGCACAAAATGAGAAGGCGGCACCACTTCCCCAAGACATTTTACCTCCATAGGCCAGAAAATGTCATAATGGACCAATGTGACAGAAAAAGATACTTTACTGCTTCTTTCCAAATATTAAGGTGATAAATAATCTTTTGTGTTCTTAGATGGCACACAATTCTACTAACTGTGGCAATTTGGCTCACAATAGGAAATTAGACAGTGGAGAGTGGTTGCTGAGGAGAGGGACCAGCACGGCAGCCAGACACTGTCAGTGAAATTGCAAAGGAAGAGCAAGGAAACCATGAAATGTAGACCCACAAGCCCAGCATAGCTGTTTGGGGACATTTAACAGCCTGAGGCAGGTAAATCACGTATAGAACACACTTTAGAATCATTTACCTCCCAATTATTTTAAAATTTGTTACAAGTATTTCGGTGTTGAAGGTGAATCTTCAGCTCTCTAGAAAGATCCTCTAAGCGGTTGAATCTCAGCTCTGCACACTTTCCTGCCTTCTTAAAATAGACTGAAACCAACCAATCAACCAAAGAGACGTTTCTGAACAAAGCAGGCTTCCCTGAATCCAAGGCACACATTTTCTCCCACATTTTAATGTTCCTTGTGGTGATATTTTCTCCCCTCAATAGCTGGACCATCTTACAGACTGTATCTTTGAAATACAGTACCTGAAGCTTGTGTCAATGTTTCTGAGTCATCAATACAAACATCAGTTTCTAAACTCAACTACAGGGCAGGCTTCAGGATCTCCTAAAGGTCTACTGCTCTTTGCCACCGCCTGAAGTAGCCCAAGACTGCCCTCCACCCATGGTGACCTTTTTAAAGCTCTTGTGTCTGCATTTTATGTATAGTTTACCTGTCTCACCTTCCTGCCTCACCCGTGGGCTCTCCTCCAGCAAATCCCATAACTACAGCATCTAAACGGAAGCCAAAGAAGTGAGCTTGATAAGACGTGTGTCAATCAAATGGCAAGCCACTCTGAATGGCACGTGGGGGTGAATCGCAGCCCCTCCTGACTTTAGGCAGGACTTGCTGTCCCCAGCTTTGGCACGGGGGGCAGCAGAGGCTGCTGCCGAGGGGAAAGGCAGGGCATTCTTTGCAAGACACATGCTAACTCGTGGACAAAGAGACCACCACAGACAAAGGAAGAAGCAGTAATCCTGACACTCAATACGCACACAACTTCTCTACCAAGTGCTGTTGGCTTTATTTTTTTCCTTTCTCAGGAAAGAGAAAACCTGAGACTAACTCCAATTACAATACATGGAGGAGG